GGCTCTGGGTTACACTCAGCTGGGACTAAATAAATAAAATATTGGAGGCTCTGAAGCATCCCATCAAGGTAAAATTCACCTTGGGCTCTGGGTTATACTGAGCTAGGATTGTCAGTGTGTAAATAAATAAAATATTGGAGGTGGGATGGATGGCTGGAGGATCTGAAACTTCCCATCAAGGTAAAATTCACCTTGGGTTCTGGGTTACACTCAGCTGGGACTAAATAAATAAAATATTGGAGGTGGGATGGATGGATAGGAGGAGGCTCTGAAACTTCCCATGAAGGTAAAATTCACCTTGGGTTCTGTGTGACACATAGCTAGGATTGTCAGTGAATAAATAAATAAAATATTGGAGGCTCTGAAGCATCCCATCAAGGTAAAATTCACCTTGGGTTATGGGTTACACTCAGCTGGGAGTGTCAGTGTGTAAATAAATAAAATATTGGAAGTGGAATGGAATGAATGGCTGGAGGCTCTGGAACTTCCCATCAAGGTAAAATTCACCTTGGGTTCTGGGTTACACTGAGCTAGGATTGTCAGTGAATAAATAAATAAAATATTGGAGGTGGGATGGATGGATAGGTGGAGGCTCTGAAACTTCCCATCAAGGTAAAATTCTCCTTGGGCTCTGGGTTACACTCACCTGGGAGTGTCAGTGTGTAAATAAATAAAATATTGGAGGCTCTGAAACTTCCCATCAAGGTAAAATCCACCTTGGGTTCTGGGTTACACATAGCTAGGATTGTCAGTGAGTAAATAAATAAAATATTGGAGGCTCTGAAGCATCCCATCAAGGTAAAATTCACCTTGGGCTCTGGGTTACACTCAGCTGGGATTAAATAAATAAAATATTGGAGGTGGAATGAGTGGCTGGAGGATCTGAAGCATCCCATCAAGGTAAAATTCACCTTGGGTTCTGGGTTACACTCAGCTGGGACTAAATAAATAAAATATTGGAGGTGGAATGAATGGCTGGAGGATCTCAAACTTCCCACCAAGGTAAAATTCACCTTTGGTTCTGGGTTACACATAGCTAGGATTGTCAGTGAATAAATAAATAAAATATTGGAGGCTCTGAAGCATCCCATCAAGGTAAAATTCACCTTGGGTTCTGGGTTACACTGAGCTAGGATTGTCAGTGAATAAATAAATAAAATATTGGAGGCTCTGAAACTTCCCATCAAGGTAAAATTCACCTTGGGTTCTGGGTTACACCCAGCTGGGACTAAATAAATAAAATATTGGAGGTGGGATGGATGGATGGATGAATGGCTGGAGGCTCTGAAACTTCCCACCAAGGTAAAATTCACCTTTGGTTCTGGGTTCCACTCAGCTGGGATTGTCAGTGAATAAATAAATAAAATATTGGAGGTGGGATGAATGGCTGGAGGCTCTGAAACTTCCCATCAGGGTAAAATTCACCTTGGGCTCTGGGTTACACTCACCTGGGACTGTCAGGGAATAAATAAATAAATAAAATATTGGAGGTGGGATGGATGGCTGGAGGCTCTGAAGCATCCCATCAAAGTAAAATTCACCTTGGGTTCTGTGTTACACTCATCTGGGACTAAATAAATAAAATATTGGAGGCTCTGAAGCATCCCATCAAGGTAAAATTCACCTTGGGTTCTGGGTTACACATAGCTAGGATTGTCAGTGAATAAATAAATAAAATATTGGAGGTGGGATGAATGGGCTGGGCCCTCTGGTGTTCTGTTAAGGTGTTTTAGTCCAAGTGAGTTGTCACAATGTGGTTTTTCCTGCCTGTGAGTAACTGGGTTTGTCCTCCCCAGGTTGGGAAGCGTCTCACCAGCAAGGCTCAGGATGCCCTGGAAGGAGTTGTTCTCAGTGTGAGTACTCTGTTCTGCCTTGGGCTGTCAGGGATGGCCTTAAACTCCCTTCTAGAGCTGCAATTCCAGCAGTTTGAGTGGCTTTTTGTCCCTTGGGACACTGAGGCCATAAATCAGCTCCTGTGTTCAGTGTGACAGGCATTAAGCAGCTTGTTCACCTTTTTTTCCTCATTGAAATCAGTTGGAAATCTTAGCTCAGTCCTTGCTCTGCTGCAGTTTCTCTCTGTAGTCAGCATGTGAAGATTGAGAATTCCACTTGTGCCATCTGAAGTTAAGGATTACTGAACCCAAACCAGCTTTTAGGCCAAAAAAAAATCTAAATATTCTGTACATTTACCCACCCTGAGATTGGTTTTTAACTTGCTAATTAGTGCTCCTTCTGTATATTTGCTTCTGAATTGAAATCCTGGTTATCTGGCAAATTTAAGAGCTGCTTGAAGCTGCTGAGAGAAAATGCTCCTGCAGGAATATCTCTCTCCCAGTATCCCCAAATGCAGTAGGAATATAAATATAAATTTATAACTTGAGAAGGAATTAGCACTGCAAAGAGTTGCTGATGTTTTGACATATCCCTCCCAGGGCATCCAGTAGGAAGTGAATATTTAGGTGTTATCTGTTCCTAGAGCAGTCACTGCACTCCTTCCTGCACTGCTGCTTTTCCTTATGAAAGAATTGCAGCCAAGTGGACAGAAAATCCAGTAAATCCTCACATAGGACAGGAAATTACCTTGGTGTGGAGTCATGAGCAGCTGAAGTTAAGACTTAAAAGCTTGAGCCTGGAGTGCTGCCTCCTTCCTGCAGGTACAGATTTGGGAACCTGGTAGGTGCAGCTCTTTTTGGTACCTTCTGATCCTTAAATTGAATTATTTTTATTTTTTTCCCCTGCAGCCCCAGCTGGAAGCACGTGTGAGAGACATTGCCATAGCAACGAGAAACACAAAAAGGAACAAAAGCCTCTACAGGAATATCCTGATGTATGGGCCCCCTGGCACTGGGAAAACTCTTTTTGCCAAGGTAAAAAAAACCCCTGCCAAGGTTCTGCCAAAGTGTCCTGAAAATTCCAGGGCTGGGGAGCTTCCCTGGGCTGGGATCTCTGGCTTGGAGCTGGGATTTATTTGTGGGAATCCNGGAGGCTCTGAAGCATCCCATCAAGGTAAAATTCACCTTGGGCTCTGGGTTACACTCAGCTGGGACTAAATAAATAAAATATTGGAGGCTCTGAAACTTCCCATCAAGGTAAAATTCACCTTGGGTTCTGGGTTACACATAGCTAGGATTGTCAGTGAATAAATAAATAAAATATTGGAGGTGGAATGGATGGCTGGAGGCTCTGAAGCATCCCACCAAGGTAAAATTCACCTTGGGTTCTGGGTTATACTGAGCTAGGATTGTTAGTGAATAAATAAATAAAATATTGGAGGCTCTGAAGCATCCCATCAAGGTAAAATTCACCTTTGGTTCTGGGTTACACTCAGCTGGGACTGTCAGTGTGTAAATAAATAAAATATTGGAGGTAGAATGGATGGATGGAGGATCTGAAACATTCCATCAAGGTAAAATTCACCTTGGGTTCTGGGTTACACTCAGCTGGGACTAAATAAATAAAATATTGGAGGTGGAATGGATGGCTGGAGGATCTGAAACTTCCCATCAAGGTAAAATTCACCTTGGGTTCTGTGTTACACTCAGCTGGGATTGTCAGTGAGTAAATAAATAAAATATTGGAGGCTCTGAAGCATCCCATCAAGGTAAAATTCACCTTGGGCTCTGGGTTACACTCAGCTAGGACTGTCAGTGAATAAATAAATAAATAAAATATTGGAGGCTCTGAAACATCCCATCAAGGTAAAATTCACCTTGGGTTCTGGGTTACACTCAGCTGGGACTAAATAAATAAAATACTGGAGGCTCTGAAGCATCCCATCAAGGTAAAATTCACCTTGGGCTCTGGGTTACACTCAGCTAGGACTAAATAAATAAAATATTGGAGGTGGGATGGATGGATGGGTGGAAACTCTAAAACTTCCCACCAAGGTAAAATTCACCTTTGGTTCTGGGTTACACATAGCTAGGATTGTCAGTGTGTAAATAAATAAAATATTGGAGGCTCTGAAGCATCCCATCAAGGTAAAATTCACCTTGGGCTCTGGGTTACACTNAAAAAAAAAGGAAAGAAAAGAAAAAGGCAAGTGTATTTTTGGAAAGGAGATAACACAGCTGGAACTCTTTTTTTTTGTTGCTTTAAAAAGTTTGGCATTACTATAAGGTAAGAACCAGTTATTTTAAGGTTCTTGTAAATGAAACCTGAATTTTCAGCTCTAAGTGCTGCTCTTTGTCTACCTCTTCCCAGCCAAGCAGTAATTCCCATTCCATGGGGATAATTCCCATTCCATGGGGGTAATTCCCATTCCCATGGTGACAATTCCCATTCCCATGGTGGTAATTCTCATTCCATGGGGGTAATTCTCATTTCCATGGTGGCAGTTCCCACCCCCATCGTGGTAATTCCCATTCCCATGGTGACAATTCCCATTCCCATGGTGACAATTCTCATTCCCATGGTGATAATTCCCATTCTATAATGGCAATTGCCATTCCCATGGTGGAAATTCCAAAAAGTGTGGGGCTGAATTTTCAAGTAAATTGAAAATTGGGAATTCTATTTACTTGAAAATTCAGCCCCACACTTTTTGGTTTATCTTCATTACTCAATTTAGTTGAGAATTCAGCCCCAGACTTTTTGGCTGCTGTGGCTGTTTTTATTTTCATTATTCAATTTAGTTGAAAATTCAGCCCCACACTTTTTGGCTGCTGTGGATTTTCTTCATTATTCAATTTAGTTGAAAATTCAGCCCCACACTTTTTGGTTTATCTTCATTATTCAATTTACTTGAAAATTCAGCCCCACACTTTTTGGCTGATGTGGTTTTTCTTCATTATTCAATTTAGTTGAAAATTCAGCCCCACACTGTTTGGCTGGTGTGGCTGTTTTACCTTCATTACTCAATTTAGTTGAGAATTCAGCCCCACACTTTTTGGCTGGTGTGGCTGTTTTACCTTCATTACTCAATTTACTTGAAAATTCAGCCCCACACTTTTTGGCTGATGTGGTTTATCTTCATTACTCAATCTGCTTGAAAATCTGGACATCCCCACATTTTCTTTGGCCAGGATGTACTTTTGGATTCAGGACTAAATGCTTCACTTGTGCTTTTCTGCTGTGCAAGAGCAGTCAGTGAGCAGGGAGTGTGAGACCTTGACTGAGCAGGGATAACAAAAAACACCTTACCAAAAATAAACCCCTCCTGCTCAGCATTTGTCCTGAATCTTAATTCCCCACCCCAGCAGCGCTGCCTTGCCAAGTGCTTTTTGCTCATTTTTCCCTGTTTTTTTTGCAGGTGGCAGGCCTGACCCTGCTGGCAGTGGGGGTTTATTCTGCCAAGAATGCCACGGCTGTAGCCGGGCGTTACATCGAGGCCAGGCTGGGCAAACCCTCCCTGGTGAGGGAAACCTCCAGGATCACGGTGCTGGAGGCTCTGAAGCATCCCATCAAGGTAAAATTCACCTTGGGCTCTGGGTTACACTCANTAGAAAAATAAATAAAATCACAACAGCAGCCACTCCCTAACCATCTCTGTTGCATTTATATGGTTTATTTTTTGCCCTAAATAAAAAATTGCCATAAAGAAGCCAATACCTCCCCTCTTCAAACCAGCACTGACAGGACCAAACTGCTTTAATTCTAAAGCCACCTAGTTTAGGTTTCTAAAGCCCATAGAGATGGATAGAAATGGAAAAAATAAATAAAATCACAACAACAGCCACCTCTATTGGGTTTATATGGTTTATTTTTTTGCCCTGAATAAAAAAATTGCCATTAAGTGATGAACATAAAGAAGCCAATACTTCCCTCTGCAAACCAGCACTGACAGGACTTAAACTGCTTTAATTCTTAAGCCACATAGTTTGGGTTTCTAAAACCTATAGAGTTGGATAGAAATAGAAAAATAAATAAAATCACAGCAACAGCCACCTCTATTGGGTTTATATGGTTTATTTTTGTCCTAAATAAAAAAATTGCTATTAAGTGATAAAGAAGATAAAGAAGCCAATACTTCCCTTTTCAAACCAGCACTGACAGGACTTAAAATGCTTTAATTCTTAAGCCACATAGTTTGGCTTTGGGTTAGGGTTAGGGTTAGGGTTTCTAAAACCCATAGAGATGGATAGAAATGGAAAAATAAAATCACAGCAGCAGCCCCTTCATAGCCATCTCTGTTGGGTTTATGTGGGGTTTTTTTGCCCTGAATAAAAAAATTGCCATTAAGTGATAAAGAAGCCAATACCTCCCTCTGCAAACCAGCACTGACAGGACTTAAAATGCTTTAATTCTAAAGCCACCTAGTTTGGGTTTCTAAAACCTATAGAGTTGGATAGAAATGGAAAAAATAAATAAAATCACAGCAACAGCCACCTCCTAGCCACCTCTATTGGGTTTATATGGTTTATTTTTGCCCTAAATAAAAAATTGCCATAAAGAAGCCAATACTTCCCTCTTCAAACCAGCACTGACAGGACTTAAAATGCTTTAATTCTAAAGCCACCTAGTTTGGGTTTCTAAAACCCATAGAGATGGACAGAAATGGAAAAAATAAATAAAATCACAGCAACAGCCACCTCTATTGGGTTTATATGGTTTATTTTTTTACCCTGAATAAAAAAATTGCTATTAAGTGATAAAGAAGATAAAGAAGCCAATACTTCCCTCTGCAAACCAGCACTGACAGGACTAAACTGCTTTAATTCTTAAGCCACCTAGTTTGGGTTTCTAAAGCCCAGAGAGTTGGACAGAAATGGAAAAAATAAATAAAATCACAACAACAGCCACCTCTATTGGGTTTATATGGGGTTTTTTTACCCTGAATAAAAAAATTGCCATTAAGTGATAAAGAACATAAAGAAGCCAATACTTCCCTCTGCAAACCAGCACTGACAGGACCAAACTGCTTTAATTCTTAAGCCACCTAGTTTGGGTTTCTAAAGCCCATAGAGATGGACAGAAATGGAAAAAATAAATAAAATCACAGCAACAGCCACCTCCTAGCCACCTCTATTGGGTTTATATGGTTTATTTTTTTACCCTGAATAAAAAATTGCCATTAAGTGATGAACATAAAGAAGCCAATACTTCCCTCTGCAAACCAGCACTGACAGGACTAAACTGCTTTAATTCTTAAGCCACATAGTTTGGGTTTCTAAAACCCAGAGAGTTGGATAGAAATAGAAAAATAAAATCACAGCAGCAGCCCCTTCATAGCCATCTCTGTTGGGTTTATATGGTTTATTTTTGTCCTAAATAAAAAATTGCCATTAAGAAGCCAATACCTCCCCTCTTCAAACCAGCACTGACAGGACCAAACTGCTTTAATTCTTAAGCCACCTAGTTTGGGTTTCTAAAACCCATAGAGTTGGATAGAAATGGAAAAAATAAATAAAATCACAACAACAGCCACCTCTGTTGGGTTTATATGGTTTATTTTTTTGCCCTGAATAAAAAAATTGCCATTAAGTGATGAACATAAAGAAGCCAATGCCTCCCCTCTTCAAACCAGCACTGACAGGACCAAACTGCTTTAATTCTTAAGCCACATAGTTTGGGTTTCTAAAACTTTCCAGAAATGGAAAAAATAAATAAAATCACAGCAACAGCCACCTCCTAGCCACATCTATTGGGTTTATATAGTTTATTTTTGCCCTAAATAAAAAAATTGCCATTAAGTGATGAACATAAAGAAGCCAATACTTCCCTCTGCAATCCAGCACTGACAGGATTCTTAAGCCACATAGTTTGGGTTTCTAAAACCCATAGAGATGGACAGAAATGGAAAAATAAAATCACAGCAGCAGCCCCTTCATATCCACCTCTATTGGGTTTATATGGGGTTTTTTTACCCTAAATAAAAAAATTGCCATTAAGTGATGAACATAAAGAAGCCAATTCTTCCCTCTGCAAACCAGCACTGACAGGACCAAACTGCTTTAATTCTAAAGCCACCTAGTTTGGGTTTCTAAAGCCCAGAGAGTTGGACAGAAAT